AGGAGACTGGAAGACTTTCAGCTCTGAGCCTTTAGGCAGGTCCTGGAACAAAACTGTGACCGTTGCATTAAGAGGGTCTTGCTGCTGTCTTTAAATATCCCGCGTCTCCCTCAGCCTGTCTGGCACCTGCACTGTTTGTTTCCTTTCCATGCAGCCCTCAAGCTCCTGTCTGTCCTGGCAGTGGGGCTCTTCCCTCATTAGGCAAGTGCACTAGTCTAGGTCATCTCTTGGTTTGAGCAGAATTTGAAATAACTTGCACCTAGGAATGAAGCCCTGGCTGAGGGCCAGGGCCTAAGTAATAACTGTTCTGCAGAACAGCCCTGGGTGCCTCTTGCCCTACCAGGCACAGCTACACCTTTGAAAAATATACATTTTAATGTAAAGAAGCTGGGAGAATGGAAGGGGAAGGAGCAGAACCCAGGCAATGAGCCATTCTCCAGTCCTGGGGGGGGTGTACACATTCCTACAGCTGAGTGAGACCTAGAGCATCAAGCACCTCCATGGCACAAGCAACAACTGGAGCCTTGTGGGAAGGAGGGCATACCAGTGGGTGTACCGAGGAGACAAGTGACTTGGCACACAGCATAGCTGTAGCAGAACTAGACTAGGAAGAACATTTGAGGCCCAGGGTGCTATGGGATGTACTGTAGCCAGGGGCCAGCCTCCACCTTGTCCCTACACCACTTCTGTACACCCACATCTACATCACTCCATTCAGTTTGTAAATGACACTCCAGAGAACAACGTGGGAAATAGGTTATCCCCAGGGAACAGTGAGATGTTAATACAGACTAATCTAGTGACCGGAGCTGTTCTTCAGACAGCATCTGTCCATGGCACAGTATCAGTCCAGCAGGCAGGAGAAGAGTTCGGTCATGTGGGGGAGAGCAGGTTCTCCCCCACTATTGAGGTGGTGGTTGCTGCTGCTGGTTCTGGTCTTGGTCAGCAGCTGGCTGGTTCGCTGACTGATCCTCAGGAAGGGGGTTGTAGTTGGGATCCTCTTCAGGAGTGTCAAATACCAGCTTCCTGGCAGGGAACAGGCCCACCCCCAAAAGAAGTGAACAGTAAGAATAAGGTGTGAGAGGGATGAAAGCCACCTTCATCCCTCCTAGGAACCCAACCCACTCTCAGGGACAGCCACATGTACTGCACCAGGGGGGCTTCCATAGTGCCTAGTTCTCAGCGGAGTCAGGGAAACAGCAAATGCATTGCTGGCTGGCTGCCCTCCCCCCTGACTTGATCCAGTTACCTGTGCACTGTACTTAAGTTCTCAAACCTGGAGCTGCCCTCATGCCATGATACCTTATTGCTCAAGTGTCCAACAAGGGCCACTTCCTTCCATAGGAAACCTGACTCCCAGTAACAAGGGGGCCTGAGTCAGAGCATGTACAGATAGCCAGTTAGGATAGTAGTTTGAGGCATGTGGTGCTTTCCACAATAGAGAGGGTTGAATGTGGACAGCTGTCAGCGTTTGCACAGGCTGGCTATGAACTAGCCCGAGTGGGGCTGAGGGTGTTTCCCACCACCGAGGCAGGTTAGCTATTTTGTTATGAAGAAAACCCTTGGATGTGGTGATGATACACTGGACCCAGGAAAGACGACTAGAATTTCACTTACAGGAAGCCTGGAGTGAGCAGCAACTTCTTCCCTCCGGGCTGGTTGGGAAAAACATCTTCAAGGAAGTAATAAATGTGACCCACTGCAATTCCTGTAGAGAAGGTGAAGGCAGACGTGTTACCCTCAGACATGCCTCTTCCCGGGGGGCGGGGTGGGGGACAGCTAGCTAGCTGCTCACTGGAGTTCTGAGACAGGGGAAAAGCTACCGGTAAGCTGCTGTCCCAGGAGACAGCTGCATTGCCTCTGCATACCCAGTTGGGAGAGCCCTGCATGAGTCACCAGTGTGTGTGTTGGGGGGGGGGGGGAGGAGGGGAGGGGTCACCTTTAGCAAGGGCCATGGCTGCAGAGAACTCTGGGGTATGAACTGGGAGGGCAGAAGGAATGGGGCATGAGTGTCAGCTTAGAGCTCGTTTTCTCCCCACCCCCATTACTGAAGAGCCAGCTGGGGCATTCATAGATGGTACCATCCAGGCTAGTTGTTGGTGCCTCATGGGCACACTACACAGGTGCTATACAAAGTGCACTTAGTTAAACAGCAAGACTGAACTTGTGTGTCTGGCAATCAGACTAGGCCAGCTGTACTCCTCTGAGAAAGGGCATGCCACTACCACGGGTGAACCCAGGCCACGGGATGTAAACCACTGGGGTCACAGCTGGGAGAGCTGTACGCACACAGAAGCCACCCTTCCTCCGGGCACCCAGTGTCCTCTTACCCAACAAATCAATGATGATGGAATTGCCCAGCAGCAGAGAGAATCCCATCAGAACCCAGGGCAGGAAGGGGGCCTGGAAGTTAAGAAGCCCAAAGAAGTTCATGCGGATGTAAGGGTTCCTGCGGCTCCACACGTACACCAGCATGATGGTGAAAGCCTGGCCCAGGAAGAAGAGGCTGGCAAAGAGGCCGAAGAGCTGAGAGCTACAGAGTCAAGGAGAACAGCACGTTCTGCTTAGGCTACAGACCAGAGCAGCAGGACAGAAGATGTGACAATCTCATAAGCCCCTGACAAATACCTGAAGTTCTGACAGATTAGATAGATACTTGGGCAGCTGCCTAGGATTTCCGTGTACTGGAGTCAACTACATAAGTGATCGTACACACCAATCCCTCTGCCCAGGCCTACCTCCTCTTCCCCCAGTAGCAAGCCATGCATTGGATCAGTGTCATTTACACCTCAGCTACTCTGTGCTCGTGGCACGCAGGGGCTGCCCACCCTCACATCTGCACCGCACATGCCCCTTCCCTTTCCCAGGACACTGACCTCCCCTGCAGCAGAGGACAATATCCCCTACACTGGGCATCGTTTTTCTTTAACGAACTCAGAGAAGTGTTCCATAGCCGGGAAGAGACATGAAACAGCCTGGTACAATAATTAAGGCTTCATCACTAGGCGTTAAGCTTCCAGGGGTGTTAGTATAGCCGAAAACCTCTGTGCAAGATGAGAAGTTGGACATGAGAGGTCCCTTTGGACCTAGGCCTCGTATGAATCTGTGAGCAGGGCCTGTCTGGATGCGGCTAACATGGACACCAAAATGAGTGGACAAGTCACCAGCTATATCCTGCAGAAGTTCATCCCTTTCCCGTGCATGGGGACAGCCCCCCATACTCACCCCTCCGTAACAGTGCCTGCAACAGGAATTAGTCAGCATGCCATTCTGCTGAGGAAGAGCGCTTTCCACCCCAGGGCAGGCATAGCACAAACCGCTGTTATTCCCTTGGAAAACCACCTGGCTCTTCAGGAGCAATGTCCAAACGGATGTTTATTGCTGCTACGGTAAGTGTCCAACCTGCTCAGCTCACAGGAGAACCCGATTTTGTAAATTCTCTCCTGTAAATCTGCAGAGCATGAACTTAGTGTTAGTGGAAGCAGCTTGACTGACAGCAGGGAGCCCCAAGCCCTCTATGAAATCCTTAGAGGCAGCAGCAGGGCGGTTCATTAGCCCCTCCCCATTGCTCTGAAGGGCGTGGTTCTAATATCACCGTGATTCAATACTTCAGCAAAAGAGCTCCAAGCACTTTCCAAGGTGGGTAAGTAGAATTATCCTGCTTTCCCCCAATGGGGAAGCTAGCAGAGAGAGGTCAGCTTGCCTAGAGTCCCAGTGAGTCAGTGCTAGATCCCGAAATAGAAGCCATCTCCACCCACTCCATGTACCATGCCCTACCCACAAGACCAAGCTGCCTTCCAAGGCTGTGAGGGATAGGAGATCCGTATCCAGGCCAAACCCTTCCTTGCACTTTGCTGAGGATGCCAGTTAGTGCGACACGGTGGTTTTCATTACAGGGACACTGGTGCGGTGGGATCTGGACTGAGAGGAAACTCATCTTCAACAGGGCTCTGAACCACCACCAGAGGATTATAACTACTACCCTGGGCTAGGTCTGAATGGCTGCCCTAGAGAGAGAGAGAGAGAGAGATTCTGTATCTCATTACAACAGTTAGGCGCCAACCAACTCCTTAAAGTTAAGTTTCATGTTTTGAGCACAAGAGGTGGACCTGACATTTATCAGCACCCAAGCTGATCACACTTGTCCTCTGCAAAAGAGTTCTGTCAAAGATAAACCGTAACCTCTTCTCAATTAGAGCTTTCCCTGGAAGGGAGATGAGTGGGTTGTTTCTAACATGCCAATGGTCCTAAGGCCTAGCTGCGGGTTTGCAGAGGTGAGACTGCTTCACAAATCATTTTTTCTGCTGTGCTCAGGGGCTCTGACACGCTCTTGGCAGGTCAAGAGCGTGGACACCACAGATGCGTTAGCATTTGCCTAGCTAAGCACTTACAGACATGCACCAGGATGTCGGAGTCTGCTCAGTATTTGCATATGAAAATACACACAGCTTTAGCGAAAGCACATCTTCTGATACTGCTCGTTTCCATCTGGACACGCGTTTAACACCCTTCTCTGAGTGCACCTTGCAACAGATGGCAGCGGCTTGTCTGCAGAGGGAGTCTGTCGTCCTTCCCAGACATGTTTCTCTTACTTTAAAATGGTTCCAAAGCGTAAAACAATGTTCACACTAGCTACAAAAATCAGAAGTAGCCCTGGTCATGCCCATGAGCTATAACACCACAGCGCAGAGCCTAGGGTACACAATCTGCTAAAGATTCAGGGCCAACCTGTCTTCAGCTACATACGTGCAGCTCCTTGGCCAGTCCCACACACTCTGGGAGCTTGGAGCTAAATGTTTTACTGGCTGCTGTCTTCTCTAAATTAACCACATTCCGGTGTGAGAGATATGGGACTAGGAACCTCAGAGCTCAGTAGGGTTACTTAAGGTTTTCACTTAATCTGGGAAGAGCTATATGGCTCCATTTCTGGCTAAGCCTACTGATCGGACAGCTTCCTGAATCCATGATTATACAACATCCCGCTCCCTCACCCCCCTCCCCGCCCAATTATATGCGACTCCTCCAGATACATCAGAGCTCCTGTGGTCAGTGGAAGACACAAAAGTCAACTTTTTGTAGCTGGAGCATAAATCTTAGACGAGTCCTTTCAGGGCCTGGTGAGTATGAACACAGTGTACAACAAAAGGAATTAGCCTGGGGAGTTGCCAGCCCACTATTTGAGAGCCTGCACAGACAGAGGCTGGTGTACGTGAGAAGAGCCATCCCAGGAGCAGAGACTGCATCTGTCAGCCAGGTGGCGCCAGGGTTTGTCTGCCTTAGGAAACATGCGCCTCACATCCTGCAGTCCAAGTTTTGCCACTCTAGGCAGCCATCTGTTCTACTTTATGGTAAAGCCAACCAGAACATAGAGAGGCATACAGAAGCGCTTAAGAAGGTCCTTGGTACAAGGAGTCAGTGGACTAGCAGCCTATTCACAGAGTATCATAGGACAGCAGCCCAGAGGGCCATGGCCAACTCAAACAAAGGATACTGTCATGAGAAATCCCCCGAAGAGAAACATGAAGACAAAGTCTGCAGTCCTTCCCCGAAAGGAACCTTCCTCTAGCATTCGGCAATATCTGTACCTGAGAGCAGGAAACAAGAGGGTTTGCAGTATAGGAAACTTAACAGCTGGCTGCCCTGCATCACTGGCTGAGCCACAGGGGTTTGCCGAAAAGCTCCCACAAGAGGTTTCATTAGAGGAAGCTGCCAGCCAGCTGCCCAAGTCCCCGAGCCAGAGCAGTGAGATTCGTCTTGTGTTACCAGACTCAGGGAAAGAGCAAGTCACCGCTGTCCAGCATGGCTGCAGAAACCACCCTGCACTGGCAATGGACAGCACAATTACAGGAGCTGGTATAGCTCTGTAGTCTCTGGTGGCAGCTAACATTGCCTGTCTCACTGATACCACACTAAGCATTCCTCAAGGGGGGCTGCCCCAGCCAGACAGGTACTTTGGATGGCAGAGTGAATGAGTGATGGGCTAGCTGGATCTCTTCAGCAGTGAGCTTGGCCATCTCCCATCCCAAGACACCAACAGGCTCTGGAGCGACCCTGTCTGGGAACTGACTTTTCAGTTCAGACTGGTGGAGACTTCAGGAAGGGGAACTCTACAGCCCAGCCCTGCTGATGAGACAAGCCAACTAGATCAGGAAAGTGGGCAAGTGGAGAGTCATATTTAAAACTAAAAGGGAGCAGAAAGTGCTGCTGAGACCAAAGGATACAAAAATATCATGTTGAAAAAGAAACTGAATCCCAAGGGCCCAAAAAAGAGGAAGTTGGTGATCAGCCTCCAGATCTGCAAGAGAAGAGACAGGAGAAGAACGAGATGGACAGCCATATCTCTTCCCCAATTTGGAAGGCCCCCCCACACCTGGGTGCCTCCAAACAGCCATTTTCCCTGCTAGGTAATCACCCCCACGAAACCAGATGCTGGTATGACCCACCTCCTGTAGATTCCATCTACCCTCTCAGAACCAGACAGTCTTTCCTCCTTGGTGAGTGATATTGCCACACCTTCCCCAAGGGAAGAGACAACTTATGATCCCATCACCCAAGGCAAGACTCCTTTCTAAGGGAGAGCTTCCCCCATCCAGCCCCAAGAGACTAGATGGTCATAAATTTCAGCCACCATTCTTCTTGAAAGGGGACTGGAGTGACAGTCTTAGTAGGATCTGAGTAAAACAGGAAAGGGACCTAAAGAACCCACTGTGGCGTGGGGCAGAAGGGTGGGGAAAACACTCCTGTCTGACTATAGCCCCGCCTCCACAGCTTCTGCTAGTGGGAAAAAGTCCCACAAGGCCCAGCGGCCACTTTCACCACCAGACAGAGCACAAGAGAGTATCTGGAATAAAGAAGCTCCTCCAGGCCTAGTAGGGCTCCTTGTGATAAGGAAAATAGGGAAGTTGGGCTGGCCTGCTGGCTCCACCTCCAGCTCATGGAATCTCTGGATTATCAGGCTAGGAAGAGAGTGAAGGACTCAGTGGAAAATTAACCCCTTATAAGAAAAGAATCTCACCTGGAACTTTCTGAAAATCAGATCTGGGTTGAAATACAGCTGGAAAGGGGTGATGAATTCTAATTGCTGCAAGAAACCAAGAGAGCGACCATTTAACCCTGGAGTGAGACAGGAGAAGCAGGTCATGCTGCACTTAGTATTGTTTATACAGCACCCAGAGTATGCCAGACTTTGCAACAAGAAACCTGCCACTTAATTTTACACACGATGCCATGCGTGAGAGCATCAAGTGATGCAGTGAGGGACGAGGAAGACAAAGGACACAGCGGTTAGGTCACACAGCTACTCAGGGTTGTTATGCAATAACGATGGTTGACAAACCAAGGTAGTTTTTTATTTTTGGGAGGGTGGAAGGGAAGGAAGTGGGCATATAACATCAGGCAAGGTTGGAAGCAGGAAGCTGGAGGGAAAGAGGAATGGGGCCAGGACAGACACAAAGCAGCAGAGGAACAAGGGAAAGAATCAGCAGACAAATGCAGGTGGAATGGTCAGAATCTGTTTCAACGGGAGGATCTGTGTGCAAGCAATTTGGAGCAAAGGCGGAGTTTGCTGGAGACAGAAAGAACCCTGTCACTGGGGGAGTGGAAACGTGGGAAGTGTTTTCAGTGGGGAATGAGCCATTTGCTGCATAAATGGAGCAGTCATTCTCTTTTGCTTTTTGCTGTGCATGCTGCTAGACTTGTATCTGTTGCTTTCTGAGCCCCTTGTTATCATCCTCTGATGCTCTTTATTCAAGCAGGTAGCATCTGGTTTCTGATTTCGGGTGAACACTATATGTCCGTGTATAGAATCGTAGAACTGGAAGGGACCTTGTGAGGTCATCTAGTCCAGTTCCCTGCACTCATGGCAGGACTAAGTATTATCTAGACCAGCCCTGACAGGTGTTTGTCTAACTTGTAGTGTGTAAGGGGGCAAAAACATCAGCCCTCACAAACACATCCTACCTGCCATCCCATGGAGGACATTAAATGCCACCTCTGACAACATGGCTCATTCCAACCCCTACCCAGCAAGGTAAGAGGTGGTCATTTGCAAGGATGGTTCAGGGAAGACATGGTGAGCTGCACACATGACTACTGAAGCATCTACTCCTAGCAGAGTCTGGCCTCAGAGAGCATTACAGATATTGCACCCTGTCTGAGGGTCAAACTTATTTCACTGCCAGCTGATGGTGGGAAAGAAAGAGAGTGTGTGCTTTAGAGAAAATTATGCAAGTGCTGAGAGCCAGAATGCAAGCCCACCAATCCCACTATTAGCAGAATTTAGCCTCACACTAGGGAATAAGCTCTAGAAAAAAAGCTGAAATTCTTGTTGCTCTTTAATTTTTTGAAGGATCCCTGCCACGGAAAGGAAACAAGGAGCAGGCAAACCCACAAACCAAATGTCCAGCTCCGGGGCACACAGTCTGACTCCCTTCCTAGCACTGAGGAGAGGAGCACAATGAAGAGGGACCAGCCTCAGCCCAAATCAGCCCCCAGTCCTTCCCACAGCACCCGGTGCGCACGGCAGAGAAAACACAGGACCGGTCACTGGAAAGGAGAATCCAAGGGGCCAGGCCTGCTGCAGGGTCGGGTCGGGTCGGGCCGGGCTCGTTAACCGGGGCAGGCTGGGGAGTGTGAACAGCCACGGAGCGATTAAACCCTCGCGTTGGGCTTCGTCCTCAGCGCGCCTGGCCAGACCCCGAACTAGCGGCGCGAGCGATCACCCCAATAGACCGCCCAGGGGCTCCAGTCCCAGGGCACCCGCACAGCAAACCCCTGTCCTCAGGGCGCCGGCCTGAAACATGTCAGAGCCCGGAGCCCGTGTCCACACTGCAGCGCGCACGTGGGCAGGGGCGGGCGGCTGTATGCCCCCCGGGGGGAGAGGGAGACAGCTGGGCAGGGCCGCAGCGAGCTCCCGCAGATGCCGTCCAGCGGAGACCCCGCCTCCCCCCCGGCCCGCCTGGGACCCGCAGCCCGTCCTGGTGCCCAGGGGACCTGGGAGCGGCCACTGCGCGCCCCGCCCCGGCCCCCCTTACCACGGCGGCGGTGGTGAGGACGCAGGCGGTGGTGTAGGCCCGCGTCACGGCCGGGATCCCCAGGTACTCCTGCGTGAAGCCCTGATAGGCCATGGCGCCGCCCGGGGGAGCCGGGTCCGGGGCAGCGGCGGCAGAAAACGGCGCTACGGCCCCTTTAACGCAGCCCTACGGCCGTATCGACAGAGGCACGCTCAGCCCCACCCCCAAGCCTCCGCTCGCCAATCGCTGCGCCAGGGGGAAGTGACAGACAGCGCTGACCAGCCAACCACCGCCTGCCACCCGCCTCCCCAACCCGGAAGAAACTCGCGCTGACTCTAGGGGAATAGAGCGGGTAGCGGCGACAAACCAATCACTGGGAAGCGCAGCTCTGTGGGGGTGGGACAGAGCAGAGAGTGAGGAGGCCCGGAGCCAATGGGAGGGCACGAGTCCTGCCCCTCTTCTGAAAGGGGCAATGTTGTTGTTGTGGCGGGAGAAGAGAGGGCCACGTGTCTGTAACAGGCGGCCAATCAGCGCACCAGAGGGCTACAGCCTCGGACCACCTAGACCAATAGGAAGAGCCCACGCTTGCAGGGG